TACAGGAGGACTCTCTTTTACGAAGAGATAGGCTACACTGATTTCTTCTGTACAATGATGTTCTGGTTCCATAGAATCCTCTCTCCATTTTAGAGTGGTTTTCTACAACGAATTTCTCTATACACGATTTTTTTCTGGTCCCTTGAATTTTAATGTGGAGAGAATTCACCTGTACTAACGTAGCGCGTTAAAACAGATGACTTCAACATGACAATAATGGAATTTGAAAATCAATATAATTTTTTTTAGGAATATTTTCTAAAATATTTCCTTGAAAAAATATGGCTTTCAAGTTCCTCATCCTACAGCTTTGAATTCGATGATTCAAACTGCATGACATCATAAATCCGTATCACTTCCTGTCTTGGCAAAAATCTGTACAAAAGAAAACATGCTTCGGAATTTTTGTAATAAACTCAAGCCCTGTTATTCTTTGGGAGAAAAAATGATTGAGACCGTTCGAAAGAAATAATAGCAGTAAACTTATGACTTGGTATGAGAAATCAAACGGTTTTGTGTCTTCATTAAGATTCATAGATTACAGTATTCTTCAGGAATTTACCGAGCTGACCCTCATCCATGAAGTTCATGTTATTCCATACTGTCTATACAGTATTTGTTGTTATGTTCTGTATAATATGGAAAATGGCATGTCGACTAATTCAACCTCATTTTCTGCATAAAATATCACTTTTATAAAAGACGGTATTCATTTATGAAATAATTTCCCGCTGGTTTTCCATTAACAATTATTCTGTACTGTACTAACCTACCGTACTTATGTTTTTAACACAGAGATATTTTGTGAACGTCTTCAAAACTGTCGAGTTTCGTTCGAGCACATGCTCTTTTGTGGACGGAGACCCGAGTATAATCCTTTTTTTTTTTCGTTGTCAACCGTTTGGATATGTACATACTGTAATGAGAAAATGAAGAATAAAAAGAAAAAATGGAGAGATGCATGAAGGAAAAGGGGCGTGGAGATGACGAGGTTTATTTTTGGGTGGAAATATGCTCTTGTATACAAGGGAGTGTTTGCAACAGTCCGGCGCTGACTTTGATCGATGATCCTGCTACAGGTCTGTGAAGACGCTTCACGTCACATCCAGGCTCTTCATTTACTTGCCTCTTTTTCTCACTCTTTCGTCGCTCAATTTTCTATTTTTCTATTTTTTGTTGTTGCTCATGCCAAGAGGTTATTCAGATTTCAATTTTATAGAAGAGAAAGAATTTTATTAAAGGGCCCTTTTCTTCGCGCGTGATTGACGGTGAGTATAGGAAGATGTATTTGCTTTTTACCGTTCCAAAGTTGTTGAAAAATTATTTTCTCGGCGGTTTTCGAGAAATGGTATCATACGTAAATATTGCAGATTTTAAGCTGCATTAAAAACATTCCAGATGCAAGAGACATCTGAGTGCTGAGGCAGTTGCCCAGCCTCCAAGAGAATTTAATTTTAAAAGTACAAAACTACATTATGGCTGCAGAAAAATAAGAGAAGCTGGAGCATCCTCATTTCTTGGATGTTAAAAGAGGACTCATATTATTGTCTCTGATCACAGGTTTCATGAAGACAAGAATCACAAACACAATCAGCAAATACAATCTCGCATTGTGATATAAAAAACTTGCTTTCAAAAAGAAATAAAATCAGCGAAGAAAAGATGCCTTGCCTACGGCACAATTCCCGACACGCGAACTTCCGAAGCAAATAACTCCGCGAATGTTACACTTAGAAAATTCTACAACATTTTAAATTAAAGCCAAAGATGTACTCCAACTTTTGTTGTATCATATAAAAATTGACCTGATTGACAGATCTTGAGATATTTTCACTTTTCTAAACCTAACTTTTCTTCAGTGATAAGAATCTGGAAAACCTTCATGCCAGCACAAGCTTTTGGTGCAAACAGTGACTTCAAAAGCCTTGTTTCTAAATGTAGATGAATGAATTTATTTCTGCAACACGTAAATCAATAAAGGAGCAACTTTTCTCGTTGTTGAGGTTCGCGAAGTATTTATTATTTTTTTTGAACCAAAAATTGTTGGATCGGCAAATTTATTCGAAGTTGCTGCGAGAACAAATTCGAGATACGGTTCCCAAACGAAACAAGCCGGGTCCAAACAAAACAAACCCTCGGGGGGTGTGCTTTGTAAAAGCGTGACAGAGTGTGATTGATTATGATGCGGTGTTGCGGCGCTGCTGTGCTGAGCAAAAGAAAAATTGATTGACGTCATGCGTGTTTTTTTGTTTTGTTTGCGGGATTTATTAATTGCCTCGTGACGGAGGTAATGTTCTCCTGTATGTGTATGCAATCGTTTCTTGATTCTTACGCCGGGGGATCGCTTCTTGATTATTTTGAAATCAACCTGCATATTTTTTTTTGAATTTTTTTATATCAAACCAGTGGTTTTTACACGGAATTCTATTCGCGCTTGACTTGACCGATTTTTTGTGGAGTATAATGTATATGAAACCTCTTTCTTTAGCGTTATCGAAGGAGATGGAAAATTATTATGTAAAATTTTTTGAAACGTAGCCGAGTATGTTGCTGCCATACTATTTTCCAATCCAGAATGGAGAAATTTTCCTGAAAGCTTCAACAGAGCTAGTCCAACACTTGGAATTAAAATCTTGAAAAAAGTAATTCCAGTTATCTCAGCTGTTGATTTCTTTTCTTTTTTTGCAGATGAAAAATTTGCGGCATTCCTTGCAACAACAATGAAACTTCCCAAACGCTTTAAAAAACAATTAATCATATTGCACAATTGCAGACCTGTGTTTCATGTTTCTTCGTCACTTTTCGTCACTTGCTTTTTCGTCACTTTTACGGTATTTATGTTTTATGCATCTTAATCGATGATATACAGAACTTGATGAACTTCAAGCAGAATTCGAGTTTTTGATTTTCTGTCAGATTATCTCGACTGCTGGTGAAATCTGAGCTGTGAAAATTCGCTGCATTCATGGCCAAAAAATTTAGAGTCGCAAACGCTTGAAAAAGGCAATAATATATATTGTAAATATATGTGTGCTTTTAAACTTGTGTTTCATGGTCCTATCGTCATTTCTTATTACAGTGTATATTTTTTTAAAACTCAATCGATGATACAGAAATCGACTCTTAAACCAAAAGAACTGTTTTACAGCCATCCAAACAAGCGCTATTTCCGCAAATAAGCAATGAAATGATCCACGTGACCCACGATGAAATTCCGGAAACGTTAAAGTTCTCGAAAAAAATTAAACATGTGCTTTTTCTGTTTTCTAGCATTAAAAGAGTTTCTTTTTTTTTGCATTCGAGCACGAAGGCGTTTTTAAGATATGGAGTATAACAGTGATTAAAATCATTGTACGGGAATTTTAAAAAATGTATTTGTGAATATTCCCAAAAAAACGTTTCCTCGCCGATGATGGTGAAGTTCCGAAATCAGATTCTTCTGCAGAAACAGTGGGGTTAAGAAAAGTTTACGCGGCGACAGGCGGAAATTCAAGGAATGAATTTTGAATTTCCGGGAGAATATTTCCAGATCAAGAACATGCTGGAAAGTATAAGCAACTACTAAAAAAAAGGTACTCAATCACGATAAAAGTTTTCCTGAGAGAACGTGACCGAGACGCGGTGGAACGAATAGCTGTGGCGACGTGCGACACACGCACTTCACTATATATATTGTGATGTTATTCACGGCGTTTGAAGAAAAGTTGCTGACAAAGTCGTTTCGCGGCATACGGTACCTTCTTTGTTTCAAGAAGTTGAAAAGTTGAAAGCTCTGAATTTGTTTCGAGCGTTTTTATTACGAGAACAGATCTTTTTTTTTTGCCATGATTTATTTTCGGCTCTCTGCTGCTGTGAAGGCGAGACTGGAACAAGAGCTTCTGCGTGTTTGTGAAACCCGGTCACGCACGAGGCCGTGACCACCAGCAGAAACGGTGAGGTGGAAATTTCTTATTGTTTATTTCCCATGCATTAGCTTCGGTGTATTTTTATTTTAATTTTTTTTCTGGGAATAGTTTTCTTCTTTCTTTGAAGTAGAAAAGGTTTTCTTTGGTAACAGAGACAATGTATAGACTCTTTTTTTTATTCACTTGGCGCTTTTTTGACGATTTAAAAATCCGAAATCGGTCAGCGGGAAATACTGTACCTCTATTGCCTTTTTTTTCGGAAATGCATTTATAATTTACTTCAAGTCTGTGAATAAGCATTCATCTACCGAAATTTTTTTTACACTTTTCATCCTACAGCCCGCGTTCTTACAAATGATTCCGGATCTTTTATATTTTATCACAGCACGGGTTTTCGATATAATGTAGTGAATACAGCCGGTTTAGGCGAAGAAACTTCGAGGGACTCAAGAAAAAAATCTATTGAATTCCAATGTTTTCTTTCTTTGTCATTGCTGATATGAGCAAAAAATTAACATCGAATTTCAAAACTTTTTGCGCGGTTTTTCTATCTCATTCGTTCTTAACTTTATTTTTGACTAAATTTAATTTTTGTTCCAAGTTGAAAAGCCTTTTATCATAGAGAAAAATTGGGGCTAGTTTTCGAATTTCTTAAAAATATGTTGTTTCGAGGATTTACCATATTTTAAATATTAAATCTGAAAAATGTATTGTGATGAACCGGAATTTTGTTTCTTTTTTTCAATTGATGCGTCAGTTCCGAAGTTCGCTCTTTTTTTCAAGTTTCAAGATCTGTAACACGACTACTATATTTTTTCAAAATTATTTCTGATAGAAACTGATCCATGGGTTCAAGAGCATTTTTTTCAACTGCTCTCGAACAAAAAACACGTTGTGATATTTTCAGATTCACTTCGCAATTACGCAACGATTTATAACGCACGTTTTATTAAAAATTTGCAAAATTATATTCTGCCTGAATAGAAGCGATCCTATCAAACGAAAAACCTCGTTGTTGCGTTGAACGACGATCCTGCACAAGAATACCTTTGAGCTATTTGTGATCTGTAATTCGAACCGAAATTTGGGGAATGATTTAATAATTTCCGATGAAAATATGGAGTTGTATTCTATGCTATATCTCTGCGATCAGCTCGTTTGCAAGAAAGTATCCATCGACTGTCGTTGTTTGCAGAATACCGCCGCAAAATCCGGTCGCCGAGATTTTGCACCGGGCGAAAATTGTCGCTGATCGGCGACCCCGATTCATTTTGCAGCTTTCGAAATATATTCAACTGGAAATAAAAATTCTTATTAATTTTTCAAAAGGTTAAAATTGAAGCAAAAGGATAGCACTCGTTTCACTTTTATTATTATTTTTTAGAAAAATTCAGCAATAAACGCTTGCCTTGAGGCAAATTCTTTTATGCCATCGCTGGGAGGGGGAAAAAGTTGACTGGAAATGAGAACGTTGGCGCTTCGAGACAATTTCATCTCACCTTGTTATTTTTGTAAATAAATCACTGGTATTTTACATTCCGCAACGAAATTTTCGACAATTGTATTTTTCGCCCACCTGATTTTCGGAAATCGGGATAGGTTTCGTGACAACAGTCCACGACACAACTTCGTTGCAAGTGTCAGTCGTTAGAGACCCTTCGTATCTATAAAACTCCGGGTACGCCTTGTTGAATTCCGTTGAAATTTCCGCGAATTCTCTCAAATTCAGCAAGTTTGTCATAGGAAACGAACAATTTGAATCTTCCCTTGTTTCGGTTTTATTTTTCCCGCAGTCTACCAACTGCGACAAACTACAATCCGGAAATAAGCAAGAAGCAAAATGTAAGGAAAAATGAAAGCGCAATTACAACTTTTAAAGACAAAAGGATGATCTCACAGGAATCTATAGAATAAATTTACCAACAGCAATTTAATTTCATTTTCGATTCTTGAACGAATGTTAATTAATGCAGCACTTGTGGCAGCGAAAAGAAAATTTGTCGTTCCTCGTGACAGTTTGTAATACAGTACATTAATAGTTGAAAACACTGCTGATTTGATGACTTTTTCACTTGGAAAATATGGATGAAATTTACCTGCAGATGAAACATTCGTACGATTCATTGTCCTTAGACGAGGCTTCGTATACAAATGCCAAAACCGCTAAAGCACTGTGATCCGTAGATTGCAGAGCATCTGTGAAGTTTTCATAACGAGTAGCCATGTGTACCAAATGCATTTCCAGGGGATAACTTGAAGAAATTTACAAAATCAAGCGTAAAAAACTCAATGGCAACCTTTTAATTTCTTTTTTGCGATCATCCGAAAATGCTCCGATTTCTAACCCGGTATTTTTGTTCCATATTACTTTCGAATAATATGTAGAAATTCTGATGATTTTTTTTTTCAAATAGCCTATTTCACGTGAAATTCTTCAGGCGTTGATTTATCCACTGAAAAAATGAGAGGAGTCTTCGCTATTATTTTTAGCAATCCCCTGATGGGTGAATATCTCGCTATTTTCTACGTTTATGATCGTGTAATAGCTGTATAAAATGAAAAAAATCGATTAAAAGCATGTAACAATTACATGAATGAATTTAAAAAAAAAACCTGAGTCGCAAAGTTTATTCTGACCTTATAGTCCATCTTTGAAAATAATAACAAATTGTTTTGCTGATAATTCAATCTAAATCATAGAATGTGCACGCGAATACCAACAGCAATAGTTTTCTCTGAGAAAGTACAGTGGAATAGATTAGAATTCCTTCGGAGATACAAAGGTAATTCCCAGAAAGCAGAACTTTTATTCTTGATTCTAAGGAAATTATTTTATATCCCTTGCAATAAGTTAGTGATCTCCACCATGGCAAGTGATTTTTTTTTTCGGTTTACCAGTGGTGTCTGGAAAGTGAGTTGAGGCTTATTTGGTTCGACTATAAATCTTATTTTAAACCAGAAGATCGCCATTATTGTAGCAGTTGATCCATATAATGTTGGAAAGCTTTTATTTTGCTTCTTTGTATAATCCCGGGCTTATCTTTCTGTTTGAGAAACAAGAAGGGAAGAAAGAACTGCTCAAGAAGATGATGCTCAGGAGTTCACGAGAATATATATGCACCGTATGCTGTGTTTGTTCAATCGATAATGGAGACTATGGACGACTTTTTTTGTCTATGTAAATATATATGCATATTTTTTAGTCACAATCTTCTCAGAATTACGGAAATGAGGGCTGCAGAAATCCGATACCTTCGTCCATCGATTATGTGCTCGGATCCACGGCTCGAGTCGGAGCCCCAATGCCAGTGCACTTGAACCAGAGAATATTCCCCCTTCAACCCACCTCCTTCCAGGGTCGGCATTTTCGGCTGACGAGGTTTCAGCATGACTGGAAGAAAATATGACTGGAAATATGTTTTTTTCTTTGCTTATACTCGTCCAGATTCCTGGATTTCAATAACTGTATTCAATTTTTTTCTGAATGCAAAAGGTAAATTCTAGAAAAATTGCAAACTTTGAAAGTGTTTTCAGGGGTTCGCAGTGAATAAAACTATTTCACAGGAAGGTTTTTCCAGGCATCGAAAAGGTAATTAAAATATTTTTGGAACATGCCCCTTCCTACGTATGATCAAATCCTTTTTGAAATCGTACGTACTAATATGCCAGAATCTACAAAAACGAAAGGGCACTTTTACAGCGTCCGAGATTCCGATTGTTCGAATAGCTACTGTGATATTTAAATATTTAATTCCGGCTGAAAATCAATGAGGCAAGAAGAAATGTATACTTCGTCGTGAAAATTTTCATCAGGAAGGTTTTTCCAGCCATCAAAAAGGTAATTAAAAATATTTGCCATTGGAACATGACCCTTCCTAAGTATGATCAGATGCGTACTTTATAGAAAATTTTTAGTTTGCCAGGAATTTTCGATCAAAGGAACAAGAATGAACATTTCAGCAAACGCCGACGGAGAGAATCCATAGCTTTTTTTACTTGAGAAATAAATGACTTGAATCAGAGCAAATTGACAGTAATACGTGCAAGAAGCTATTCGTTGATAGCAAATCTCTTGTCTAAATTTTTCAACGTTACACTGTACAGTACTTGTTGAAAATAGTTCACAAAGTTTCAATGTCAACTCGTATTTTATTGTTACCTAGCTTGGAAGTTATAACGAAGAATACACTTTGATTTTCTACAAACGGGTTGTGACGTCGTCCATAAACATACAGGTGGGCTCTTTTTGTACCATAAAATTCAAGGGTTGAGGGAAAAATTCGTTTTAGAGAGAATTTCCTTGTAGAGAACCCCTATATAGCATGGTTAACCCTAGGTGGCCAAAAAGGAATACGTTATGCAGAGAAAATCATCGTGGACGAGATTGTTGTAGAGAGAGTTTACCTTAAAAAACGATTTTATTTTTAAAAATTTTGCTGGTGTCGATCTGAAAAATTGCACTCTAATTGAATTACAATTATTCAATTCACACTAACCAGTGTGCCCATTGTTCTCCATGTGAATAGCAAAAGGGCAGGTGTCGTAGTTGTTCAACTTGAATGGGGATGAAGAACGTATTTTAGCTTTGTTTCTGCTGAGGTTCACCGGTGATTGATAATGTCCATCACAGAAGACTCTGGATATATTTTCCACATGAGATGATCCTAGGATGAAAAGATCACCAACCTGAGTTTCTAACTTGCTTCTCTTGAAACGACTTTACCACTTTTTTAAAGTATAGGCACAAATATTTGAAGGAAGGATTCTAAAGACCTAGAAATATTGCAAATATTGAACGTGTCATAACTTGGAATTTTAAATTAAATATCCGCCAGTATCCGAATAAAGTATTTTCCTGATTTTGCGCTCAAAATTGAAGAACTTTTCAAGGTTCTTAATGTAAATATATCGCAAAAAGTATTACTTACTTGGGTGTTCAACGTAATAACATTTGAGTTCGTCTATCCGAACCGGAAAAAGGACCGGCAAGTTCCACATAAATCCGAAGAGAACAATAAATGGGAAAACATGGACGACACAAACTAGCAATGACTGAAATCTCGCCAAGTTCATTGTTATAATTATGGTAAGACGATTAACCAGAGGATTAAATAAATTTTTTTATTAGTAAACCTTCACAAGTTTTTTTTTCTTTGCTCTTGAGTTTCAATCGAGGCGTCGTTCCAACTTCCACCGTTTATATTCGCAGTTTTCTAGACGTCTATAGGAAATACGTTTTATACTAAAAATAATTTTTTTTTCTGCTCCAGCGGAATGTTAACAAAACGAATGCTTCATCAATCACTTTCAAAGGATCACTGAAAGATTCTCGAGTGTTGTACAGTATCTACAATAATCGGGCTTTAAGAAAAACATGTCTTGAGCGTTTTGCGTTGGAAATCGATGAATAAGGCGGACGTAATCGTTCTTACATTATACTCGGATCGAGATATATGATGTACTGCTGTCGTACGTCGTGAATACATCGAAACCCTCGGCAACAATATTTTTTTCGGGGGGCCTGAAACTGTTGGCACGTATTCCTATTGAATTCATTTTTTTTTCCTGTTACTTCTGAAGAATCCAGAAACCTTGGAAGAAAAGCGTCGGGAAAAATGACGTGTGATAACAAGATTCTGCTCTTCTCGGGCAATTTTTTTTTTAATGTTTACGGTATCTACACAAAGGGAACCTGATTTATGACCAAGATGAGAAGTTTGTGCTCGAGAAAGAGGGACAACTTCTTTTATGAAGAATTATGACGAAAAAAGCATTCTATTGTACTAAGTGTGAAGGAAACGGTGGAAACATTTATCTTCGCAATTTTTTTTTATGCAGTAGTAAAGCCTTTGCATTTAACATCTATCAACTGGATTCCTGCCTAGTTTGACGCATTTTTCAGTAAATCCAGCTCTAAAATACCTTCAGTTTCTTATACAGTACTTCCATCATCAAAAAATTTCGTAAGCAATTGAACGAAATGGAATTTGAAAATTGATGCGAGTTTGAAAGACTTGAAGCTCAGTTATCAGCGGTGAAAATCACGTGGAATGCGATGATTGAATGTCTTATTTGTCATTCTTTTAAAAGAATCATCTATGAAATTTAACGATCATGTTTATTACATGCACATCAATGTGATTTTTTCAAGAATGGATCGAAAAAACGCGGAGGAATATATAGAATTTTGCTTATATTTTCTCCATGTCCTCATCAACACTGCATTTATAATATCATGAAAAATGCGTGAAGGTATACTGGTTTTTTCTGAGGATTCTCCGCATTTTTTCACTCTAATGAGGTATCATATTCAGAGAATTTCTCTACCCTGGACATTTCGTACCTGAAGGGAAGTGTGACAGGTTTTTTACAATCTACGTTTGTAATAAATTCCCCTGGATTCGTGTCTAGAAGCTCCCAGCTCAAGTTTCTGATGAAAAAAAAAAACACCCGTGACATCTAATGATAATACTGTATATTAAATTTGCACAACTACGAATTCTTTCAATTTATTCTCTCCTGAATTCTTCCTCTCCCCTTGCATACCGCCTCGGTTTTTTACTGATCGAAACTAAAACGTTTGTTATATACGAATTTCTCGCGGCCGCGCTTTTTTTTTCTTCTTCCACGATGTCGAATGAGGTGCTTTAAATTCTGAGACTGAACCCGAATTTTTTTTTCTAACTGGGGAATCGGACTGTATTTTGCTTGCGTGTGTGTGTGTGTGTGTGTGTGTGTGTGGCCCTTGGGTCATGACCCCTCAACCGATCCTGTTTTCATTCGCAGCGAGGAGTCGAGAAGTGTTGCGTGAAAAGAGCGAGCCGAGTGCTTGAGACGCGACGCCGCAAGGCGTGAAGAACTCTGATGTTTTTCCTCTATGCCTCGGCCGACGATTTATCCCCGTTTCACATCGCCGTCATTCGCAAAATTAACATTCCATTGCGAGTCAGAAGAAAGAAAGAAAGAAACATGAGAAGAAGAAGAAGAAAAAAAAATGAGCGTGGAAGATTTTTGTAAGGACGAGAGAGAAAGAGGAGATAAATTAATAAAAATAATAGTCACACATACGCGGGGGTTATATGCATGGAGTGACGAGCAGAAACAATTAACAGTTCTTCTTCCATTTAATCAAGCGAGAAATTTGTTTCCGCTTCGGCTTCTTTTGTTTGCGTTCTAGCAACATTTTGCTTTATTGTGTTGTTTTGCTCTTTTTTCTTCATCAAAACTTGACTAGACTCCGCTCAGAAACGCGGAAATTCGGAGGACTTGAAAAGAGCTCTGTTGAACAGAAAATGAATTTGTGGTGGAGACTAGACATTCTTTTCTTTTTTGGTTTTGCTCGGTTTATTGAAAACGCAAAACGGTTCTTTTCACAACGGCGCTCACTGGACCAAAAATAGTTCTTAGATGAGAAAATATATTTCTGAAATTTTGTCTTGATTGAAGGGTTATGATCAAAATTCCGAAATACTCGTGTTTATACAGCAATTCCGACGGATCTGGAAGACCAATCAATTGAAGCATAATTAATCGAAACTGCCCTAAAAATACTCATTACAACAATGTACAGTAGTGCAATTTAGGTCTTCTACTCTTGTTGGGGAGTAACTTACCTCAACATAAATTTGTTGTAATTTTGTAGGTGGATCAGAATGATAAAATGAAGTTCTAATTTGTAAAAATAAAAGACAGAATCAGCCTGGGACTAGGCCGGGGAACCTTTCGGTTTCCCTAATTTAAATTTGAGATGTATTTCAGGAAATTTGTCCCACAAGAACAACACACAGAAATAACTTTGGAAATTACAACACTCAACAGAACTCAGACAATATTTGTAAATATTGCAGTTTTGAAGCACTCTTCACTATTCAAAGGTTCGATTGCAAGTGAGGTTTTTGCAGTTCTCTGTGGATTCGGGAAAACAGAAATTGATTTCTGGTTTTAGGTGAGTTATCCTTCCCTTTGAGGGTTGGAACTCTTATCGAGATTTTCGCTCGGTTTTTTATGTAAAGGTTTTCCTAGTGTTCGGCGTGCGGTGCAGTTTTTTATATGATAACTGGTTTTTTGCGTTGTTCGGCGTGCACGTTTCCCCAACAACTCTCAACCTCAATATCTGAATCGGAAAATTGTGAATCTGAGAGGCCAGGAATTTTTGGATTATTTTTCTTTGGAAATCCCCACGATTTCCATGCATTTAGCAAGGGAAATATGACACTGACGAAAATTATGAGCCATTTTTCTCGAAGGCTCCTTCGCATTTTTTAAATGCAAAAGGGCTTTTTTCGGCGACAGAAGTTAAAATCTGTGAAATATTTTCTACAACTTATAAAGAGCTGTTTCGAATGGATTATAATTCTTTGGAAAGCTTCTCGATTTCCATGCATTAACCGATGGATATATGATACCGATAAAACTTGTGAGCCAACTCTCGAAGGCTCCTTCGCATATTCTTAAAATAAAAAAGCGCAATAAAAGGTGTGAAATCTTTTCTACACGACTTGAAGCATTGTTTTTTTCCGGTGAATGACCGAAACATTTCCATTCACACCGACAATTACTTTACATTTTCAAGTTTCTTCCATCGTCTTCCCGGAGCGTCAGATATTGAACCTCGTTTTGAACAAGTCCTCGTCTACGTGTCCGTTATTACATCGTCCGAAAATGGAATAAGCGTATATTTTTGCTGTCGAAGTTTGTACGTTAAAAATAAAAAAGAACTCGAAAAAATATCTACGAGTTAAAAGACACACTGGACGTGATTTACGTTTTTAGAATGCCCACCACAGGACCATAAGTTTTCGGAGTCGAGTTGAGAAATGAGGCTTTGTTAAGTCGTTCGCGCTGATGAATGCTTCAATTTCCTTGGCGATTTGTTGCTTCGGTTGAACACCACTAAAGGTTAAGTTTACGACGAGCCGGAGATGAAAAACAAAATTTTCCCATTTTTCAAAGTCAAATAAACTAAGGGACGAAATAAAGTTTCGGTGCGATCGGAATTTTGCTTTAGCTTGTGTTTTTTTTGGAGATTAATTTTGCAACCATATCGTGGTCAGCGATTCATACTATAGTGATTTCTTGCTGTCATTTGTTTTATTTCATTTTTCGCTCAAGTTTTTCAACCAAGAAACATACTTCGTAGCAGACTTAGTAAGTATGAGTGAACGAACTTTTCATAAGAATCCAAAATTGATTCTCCACTAAGAGTTTTTTCTTCAGTTAGAGTGACTCATGCATATTGTTTGAGTTGGACATTTCTTTCTGAAGAACATCAGCTAAGGATTATCTTTCATAGAAGGATCACCGAAGGAAGGAAGAAAGTCAGGTTCATTGAATCTGGACGGATCCTGAGAGCATTGAATTAATTTCATCCGTCCGGATTACTATTTCATAATTAAATATTTTCTTAGTAATGCAGTAAATACATTTTTAAAAAGCATGACAGAAATGTTGACGGAGGTGACAAGTGACGAGAAACTCCCGTCATCGCATAAACCCCAGTCTGGGGATTTATCAACTTTTTCTGGGATTCCTTTTATCCTTCTATTTAAAAATACCCAGCTCTTTTTTATTATCTTCATATATAAGAGACCCAGTATAGTGGTTTTAACTTGTTATGGCTCATTGCAAATTCATGATGAAAATTTAATGTATGTTTGCATAGCAGCGACCTGAGCGCAGTTGATTTGAGCCTAATTTACATATATTTACTGTGCATGTTCAGTCGTGGAAAATTAATCGACATGCATAATATACGTATATGCATTTCTTTTTTTTTTACGTTTTCTTCTAAGGTTCTCCTGAAAGCTGAATGATGGAGATTCCATTTAGATATCAGAAAACATGTATATGTGATAGATTGGGAAAAAGTATGAGTTTTAATTACAGCAGTATACAGAATTTATTTTCTCTTTACAGTTGTAATTCATAACTCAAGCACGCCAAAATCAAAAAAACCCCCATATGTCAGGGTTTTTTTTTTTAATTTCCTGTCAGAATTCCGTGAAGTATCATTTGGTATTGTATGCCTTTACAACTGAAACATTTTCCCCTTCCAATCTCTGAAAATAGCTTAAATTTCAGGAAGCATTTTGGTTATTATTCTGGGGACCAGGACGTATAAAAGCATTATAAATGAGACTTGATGAATTTTAAAGGGAATAAAGTGAGTGACCA